ATTTAGCAACGGTTTTTCTATACCCTCGCTAAACACTAGCTAATGTTTCGATCACTTAGTGATGGTTTGTTAAAAACCATCACAAGAAATGGTCATTTAGGACAAATTTAATGACGAGTTGTAAATACCCTTGCTAAAATGCTTCAAACCGTTGTAATTTTAGTAAATTAGCAATGATTTTTAGACCATCGTTAATTTCTCCTCGCAAATCACGTGTTTTGTTAAAGTGTACGTGGTTCAAGATGAAGGTGACAATTGTTTTATTGTTATGAAAAGTAAAGGAAATTTCATTTGCATTGTGCGGTTACAAAACAAGTTCTTTTAGTTGGATGAGCGACCCTTCGACGTTTCAATAGTCGAAAGGTGGCAAATTAATTTGAAGAGGTTCTTTTGTACTATTATGTACTAGTTTATGTGTATCTTTTTTTTTTGTTTTTGGAAAAAAAGGGACGTGTACATGATGAACTTCTATGGAGAGTGTTTTTAGAACTCGTTTGGAGTTTTTTTATGGATGTTTGAATTAAAACCAACCTCTCTCTTCTTAAAACGACTCTTGCCTTTATATAGGCAACTATGGAAGCAACTGGCATGGTGAAAAATACAAGGTGTCCTTTTCCTTTTAAGTTAGTGGGAAAGCCGACAAGTGTTGGTGCTTTGCTATCATTATATTTAATTCTATGATAATGTAAGTGTCATAATGATGAGTGGTGATTTGATAGATGTCATTGGAGATTCTAAGCTTTTGGGCCTTAAATTTGGTGGTTTTGAGTGAGGAAATAACAAAATTTAAACAATAGGTGCTTCTATTACTATGAGTGGCAACATCTTTTTATGTTTTTGTAAGAGTAATGATTAACCTCATTATCATTACCGACATTCGGGAGGCTTTCAAAAATTATTAAAAATATTTATTATTATTATTTTTATTTTGTTTTTGATTATTTCCTAAGGATATTAGTTAAACTACATTTTGTAGTCATCGTATAGTATTAAAAGAACTAGAAAACCTAAAAATGGCACTTGTTCGGAGATTCAGAGAAAAGAGTTGATTATGCCTTTGAGAAGATATCGATCATCTAAAAAATCATTTCAAAAAAAAGATACCACTTTGGTCTAATCCTAAAATTTTATCTCCTAAAAAAATTCAATTTTTGCCAAATTATTTCTAAGTCAAATTATTATTTTTTTATTTGTGACATTATATTGAATCGATTATCGGACCACTAACGTTATAGGTCTTGTCGGTTCAACATTAAATTTGATTTAAGTCTCGACATAATTGGTATGTCGAGAGAACGACCTAATTACTAAGATGATTGGTTTGAATTGATTAATAACATCAGTTCCTACTAGATATCAAACTTATTAAAATTAATCTAGTATTTCTCTATTTTTTCAGTGCTTTTCTTTTTCTTTTTTTTTTTAATGACTATTCATCATGTTTTATATCATTTTTATCTTCATTTTCATTCTTTTGTATATTTTTCCAAAGTAGATGGAGAATCCTTTTCAATTCCTAAAAATTAAGAATCTCGATGATTCATCCACCTATTAATTACCTAATTTAAATTTTAATTATTTAAGAAATATTCAACATTAAAATAAATCTAAAATTAAATTATCAAAACCTAAAAAAAAAAACCAACACACACACACACACACACACATGTATAGGAGTCTAAAGTACAATTTCAGATTTAATTAATATTAAATACTAAGCTAAACTAAATTTTAAACACTTAGATAAATTGATGAATAAGCTTTAGACTAAATAAATTGAAATAAATAAGCAAAGAATTTCAAAAATTCAAAAAATTTAAATCTATAATAGAAATGATAGCATGAAACATGCATTAAAATTTTAGATTTAACTAACCCAAGGAACTAGCTAAACTAAAATTCTAAAAAAATAAAAGTTATTAGGCCTTCGAGCCCAATGGGCTTTCGACCTAGTGGGTAGGCCGAAACCTAATAGAGACATAGCTTACCCGAGTAGACTTCCTCCATTTTCTCTCATATTCCTTCCCTCTAGCCTATTTCCTTTCTTTTATTTTTTCCTTTCTTTTCCTTTCTTTTTTTCATTGGTCACTCCTCGTTGTCCCTAAATTTTGCTTTATACCCCTTTGTTCCTAAAAAAAAAAAAAAAAAAAACCCACCCTATGAAATTATCAATGAGTTTTTCTTCTCTTTTCTACTAAACTAGTTCAAACTTAGACCATAAACACCGAGTTCAAGCTAGTTGAATTTCAATAGATATGGGTCATGGATAGGGTTGCATGATGATAATGGCTATGTCACCTGTCATGCACTATTTTTTAAAATAACAAGGATAGAAGCTTTTGGGGAAAATGCAAGTTTGAATGAGGTAAGGTTTACCCGGTGTATCGAGTTAAAGAGGAAGGCTATGAGCAATGGTTTTTTCTTCTCCCATGTCTCAATCGATCTTTCTTCTACCGAGTGGTTTCTTAATTGAAACCCAATAATCTCCTAAGAATCCTTTTGATCAAGCCCCAAACACTTCTTTAACCCAAAATTACTTTATCTTGCCTAGAAATCTCAAAAACCCTAATGTTAGAACCTAATTTGTTTTTCAAGCAATCCTCCCTAAAATCCTCTAAAAAATCATCTCATTGATACCTTTTTTATAACCAAATAGGCTCTTTATCAACCTTAATATTGTTTCTAACCTTTAATTAAAATCTAAACAACCGAAGCTCCGATAAATTTTAGCTTTTTATGACCAGAGCCAAAATAAAAAAAAATGCAATTGCGAGTGTGTGTGCATGTTAGTGCGGATGTAGTGCGAGTGATGTGTATACAACATAGATCTTGGTTGGTACAAATGCCAACAAAGAGTGAATTTTGTCTCTCCGGTTATTACCTTATTTAAAGACAATGAACATAACCGGAGGGTAAGGAGGGAAAGGGATTTAGGATGAACTTGGATGGCTAGTTGTTCGAGCATCCGCTGAATTGGTCTTATCATTCAATTCTCCTCTCAATTTTAATCCCTACAAGACTTTATTTTTCCCTAATCGCACCATTAAAACGTATCATTTTGGTCCCTAATTCCTTTAATTTTCCAATTAGACCCTTATGTCTTCCAATTTCAATTTTGATACTTTTAATTATTTCAATTGCGTCCCTAATTATTTCTAATTGTATCCCTTTTTCATTCAATTGTACCCTAATTATTATTCTATGCAAATTCTTTTCTTCTTTGTTTCTGTATTTTCCTTTTCTTTTTTTCTTTTTTCTTTTTTGTTTTTGTTCTATCTTTTAAAATTAAAACACAATTAAGATCTAATTAAGAAAGAAAATTGAATTACATTCATGGATCATTAACTATTATGAAAATAAAAATAAAATAAAGGAACTAAGCCTAATTAATTTTGAGAGTCTACATGATGAATTTACCACCTTATGTGTTATCCACATCAATGTGAGGCTTTCTTTTAGATTTGATGTGTCTTAATTAGAGAATGATACCTTTATTTGCCTATATACGAGCCTTGTTATTAGAGTTTCCCTTTACCTCTTCATGCTTTAGACTAAATTTACCATGGGAGATTTCTAAGAAAACTTCCTTATTTTTCTTTCTTCACTCTTGTGTGCCTTATTTCATGAGAATTACTCTTTAATGGAGGTGCGCCTTATTTTCCATACACATAAATTGACACTATTATCTTTTGTCGCTAATGGTCTAAAGCTCGTGTGAGACTTGACATTTAGTTGATTTTTGCTTTGATGGGTTTGATTGGTCTAAAGCTCTGTGTGAGACTTTGTTTGTTTGATTGTTTTTTCTTTTAATGAGTATGAAAGGTCCAAAGTCCGTGTGGAACTTGATATTTGTTTGATTATTTTTTCCTTTGTTAGTTACATAAAAAGACAAGTTTGCTTTTTAATAAAACATAGTGTTTAACCTTTTTGGAGCAATTATTTGATTGTCCGCTCCTTAAGAGATGCATTCTTAGAGTTTTATTTATGACACGAGAGTGTATCCTTGAGGCGAAATAGTTTGAGAATCAAATCGAAGAGGCCAAATGGTTAAAAACCAATTATATTTAAGTCAACATCTATCCTAGTTATTTATTTTCTTATTTACTTTTCTATAATTAATATTTTATTTTTTCCTAAAGAATTCCCTTGTGTTTAAGGTTCTTCATTAGCGTAGTCTTTTCCTACTCGAGCTTTTTCCTTATTTGGGCTCAATTTAGCTATGTTTTAGGGATTTTCATTAATGAAAGAATAAAATGTAGGGATATGCCACCATTTTGGTTTGTGCCCTGGACCTTAAGTATTTTAACTTTTTTTTTTTTTTTTTGTAATTATTTAGATGATTTTAATATTTTGATAAAATTAAATAAAGATATTTTTCTCTTCTCAAAATCTGTATTTTTTTTTATCACATAGAAAATGTTATCATCCTTAGCACCGATCACCCAAGGTGGCGACTTGATCTCACGTTCAAGAATCAAGATGGTGCATTTGTATTCTTAGCTCTTGATATACATATCTTGAATCTTGACTTATTTATAAAAGTATATTTTGATTGAACTTTTTGATTAAAACTTTTGTGTTGGATTGGTTTTACCATTGAGAATTTTCGGTTAGTTCTAGTTTCCATAAATTTAGGATTTTGCTCTTTGTATTTTGGGTTTAAAGAGGTGCATTAATGCTAGATTTTAGAGTTTGGGTTCTTAGAATTGCATGAAATTTTGCCAACAATAGATATTTTTTTATCATAAAAGGAATTAATTAAAATTTGATGAAGTTTTGACAAGTCTAGCCTAGGTTTTGACATTATCTTAGTTATTAGGGTTTCGGTTTTTATGTGTTGTTATGTTTCGGCTTGTTTGTGTGAAAATTCAAAATTGCTTGTTATTGGATTTGTTGCAAAATTATTTTTTGATTAATTTATCACTAATTAATATTCACATTAATTGAGGGTTGAGTTTTGGCTTTATTTGTGGTTGTGGTGGAATCGCTTGTTGAGTATTATGGATTGCTTGTGTTGTTATAATGTTGAATTATCTATTGTGCTGCTTAAAAGGTTTCGTCCAAGAGAGAATTTGTTTAAGTTCAAAGTTTTAATAGAGTTACGGTGTCAAGTTGGTGTTAGTGCTTATGTGAGTATTTGTTGTGTGTTATTGACATGAGTGTAAAAATGTCTTTCTTTGAGTTTATTGATATTTTCTATCTTGATTATTAGAAAATGATTTCGAATTTAATTGGGACTTGCCACCTATTTATGATGAATACCCTAATGATGAGTGTAGTGACTTAGCCGAGAGAGAGGAGGCCGAGGGAGAGGAAGAAAGGTTTGTTGATGGCATTCATATTAGTGCAAATCTTATCGGTGATGAGAAAACTAAAATGTCTAGTAAGAAAGTTGATGTATTAGTTGAAGAATTCAAAACTGCTCATGATAAAGATTTTGTGGATTTTGTTAACAAGCTAGATGAGCAAGTAGTCGTAGTGGATGATTCGTAGCAAGCTGAATGCACCAAATTAATTAATTCCTTACTCTTAGTTGTTGATTCATAGTTATGCAACGAGTATAGATGGAACCAACATGTAATTGATTTGATCGATTTATTCTTAATTTAAGTTGTATTAAAATAGATAGAGGAATTTAATTAAACAATAACTAACTAAAAAAAATAAAAATATTAATGTGAAACAATGAGAAAAAAACTCAATTCTCAGTTCAATTTCAACCCTCACAACTCCATGAATGCAGCCAATAGACACTACTACATTTTTTACATTCTGCAGCGATTTTTTTAGTAGCGATTCAAAATCCGTTGCATATTAGCATCATATGCAACAGTTTTGTAGCGGTTTCAAACTGTTGCAGTCAAAATTATGTTTTTTACGCTCAATTAAGTAAATCGTTGCAAAAACCGTTGCATGTGATTTAATTATGCAGCGGTTTTAAGAAACCGCAACATAAAGGTATTTTATGCAACGGTTCCTAGTTAAAATTTTTAATAAAATTCTTAACCCGCTAAAAAACTTATTTTTCTGTCATTCTCCCGCTAACACACATCCAGCCTCTCTCTCCAGTGTCTCTTTCGCTTTCTCTCTTTCTCTGTCTTTGTCTCGCTCTCTCTTCAGATTCATAGAGAGATGGAAGTGAAGGAATTTTGCTTCCTTCTCCTCTGTTTCATTCTACTCCCTTCTAGTTCTTTGATTGAAACCCATAAATTACTTCTAGGAATCCTTTAGGTGAAGCCCAAATATCCCTCTAAAACCTAGATTTGTTTATGTTACCTCAGAAATCTTACAATCCTTATATTAGAAACCAGTGTCTTTTCTCTTGAGAACTCTCAAAATCCTCTTTATGAACCCAGGAATCCCTTCGATGAAGCCCAAGAAGCCTAGAATTTGTTTAAGAACCCAGAATAAGAAAGAATCCTAAAGTCTCTTTTTTCAAAACCCAACAAAAACCTTAGAAATTTTTCCTTTTTTTTCCAAACAACGAAATTCCTTCCCTATTTATACCAGAATACTACCCCTTCTCGACCTTTTGATTCTCTATCCCTTAATCCTATCCATCTCCATTAAATCCAAAATTACCCAGCTCCTCTATTATTTTTTTATTCCTCACATTTGTTTTGTGTTTAGAGGATTAGTGAAACACGAATTCGAAAGGGTACGCTGTATTTTTTTTTATCGAGGATATGGTATAATGAGTAGCTGGTTTGGGACAAGAGTCCAAAACTTGATACTAACTCCTCATCCATCTCAGTTGTCTTGTGAGTTTTGTGTGTGCAGGTGAAGCCAAGAAAGGAGGAACAGTGGTTCAAATAGATTATAGAAATCTGGCGTTCAGATTTGCCTTGTTGAGCAAATGCATTTGAGGATTGAAGGCTGAAATTCTGTAAGTTTTTTAATGTCAAACAAAATTTTATTTCAGTTGTTTTCTTCTATGGACATTCTCTGATTTGAATATTTTGTGAACTCTGTATTGTCTCTTTGAGAAATATTTCTTCTATGGACGTTCTATGGACTTATTAGTTTACCAATGGGATTTCCTCTCTGCCTTGCTTGTAAAAAGGATGATGAGATCAGGTTGGAAGTTTGATCCAGCAGAGGTGGCGAATGATAGGAAGCAAGATTAACAATCATTTACTTGTGCACACACAAACACTAAAAATGTTTTGTTTATGGATAGAGTTAGTATTGTTGGTTGTCTCTGTCTCTATCTCATTTAATGGCCTGCTAAGTTTAATTTCTTTTGAGAATCTTATAGAGTCTGACATTGTGGATGTTGTCGAGTTTGCTATAAAGCATCATGCCTCAGACCTTACGACTAAAGCAATGGCTCTGATTGCTCTCTTAAAGCTTTCTTCTCGTTTTCCATCTTGTTCTAGGTAAGTGTTTTCTTAGTTTTTATTTTAATGTTGCACTTTCCATTCCCTGCAATTTTATTAGGCTTACATCTTTCCTTCTAGGCTTTGCATTTTTTAAGCTGCATAAAAAGAATGATATCCCAGCTTTATGTTTTGAGTCTTATTATTTTCAGTCTTTCTTTCTATATAAAATTCAAGAATTCCTTTTTGGCAATGAGAACAACGAGCCCAACTCAGTGTTGCACCTGCAGACCCAAGAGCCCAGGCTTTAGGATTAAGAAACAGTGGAAGCATATGCACACTTCAAAATTCCCAGAATTGTAAAAATAGCATGATCCGTTTATATTGTTGGGCTCTGATTCTCTGCTACGTGCGTGCTATTAGTTAAAACCCTGGCTGTCATGGATTTTCTAACTAGCTAGAATAGGCCTTTGACATTCTGATGTTGCACAAACATGGTTGTTGAGAATTTCGATTTACTTCTTTACTTGTCTAAGAAACTATTAAAGTTTGATCTTAGAATTTTGGATTTTGGATTTATCTCAGGGGCAAGTGTGAACCTTGGAATATTTATATGCATACGATGTTCAGGAATTCATCGAGTTCTTGGGGTGCATATTTCACAGGTTTGTATTGCTATTCTTGCTTTTCTAGTCTGTTTCACATTCTGCTAGAAAAATCTGTAGTTTCATTCTGAATTCTCTATGATGGTGTACGTTGAAAATTTTAAGTTCAAAAGATTTATTTTTGTTTTATTTTATTAGAACATTTTAGACATATGCTTGTAGAGGCAAGTTTAGTGTCCGTAAACAGGTTACAGAAAACAGAAATATCACAAACCAAAATTCAATCTGTGATATTTTTTCAACAAGGATGATAAGATAACCAGTTTTGCCTTCTTTTTGTCATTAGCTCTTATTATTTTCTTGGCTCCTTACTGCATTGCCAATACTGATGATGACTTGGACATTTTGGCTTGCAAATGGGTACGATCTATTACACTGGATACATGGTTGCCAGAGCAGGTTGCTTTCATGCAATGTAAGCATGTCTCACTGTTGTTACGTGTGAGTTGAATCATGAAGCAATGATCAGGAAATGATATAATTTCTTTATTCAAACATAAGTTATTTCATGATTTTTTTTTCTCTCTGAATGACAGAACTGATGAAACAAATTTAGTTGTACTACATAAAAATGTCAGGCTGGTAGAATAAGAAAGCGTTAGGTGTGCAGATATAAGAAATGGAATCCTCCTAGAAGATTTGGAAAATTAATGGCTGCAGCCACGGGAAACAGTATCAATGTGATTGATGTTGAGGTTGGCAACCTCGTGTAGAACTTGAAGGTAATATTTAAACATTCAAGTATTTTAGTAGGATGCTAATTATATTTGCACCACATCCGTGAGCCAATTCCTTCCAGCTTTATAACTGATTGAATTTTTTTGTCTGTAAAGGGACATGCCAAAGAAGTACTTTCTATTTGTTGGGATACAAGTGGAAAGTATATTGCATCTGTCTGTGAGGACAGTGCATGAGTGTGGTCACTAGTTGGTGGAAATTGCCTAGGCAAACTGCATTCAAATGGCAACATGTTCCAATCATGTGCATTTCATCATAAAGGTTTGAACCCAAGTCTAAATGTGAATCTTGAGATGTTCAAGACATTGGCTGTAACTACACGATCCCCAGGAGATGCTAATAGCGCACCAAATGTAGGGAATTAAATAAAGAATTCACATTCGTCGGGTAGCAATCATAATCTTTAGGTACTACTAATTTTTATATCCGTTATTTGATAAAAACACAAGTTTAATTATTGTAATTACTGTATTTCATTGCTAATAAATCTTTTTTTCCTAAAATTGCAGGTTGCCTTGTGTTTTCAACTATTTGAAGTTGGAAATCAACTTTTAAATTTGTCTAGTAGGAGCTTGGAACTTTTTTTTTCAAATATTGATATTTTGTTGTGTTTTTTTAATGTTGTTTAGATATTTGGATTATTTTTTTCTTGTAATATGTTACTTAATTTTTACAATTATGGTTAACAAACTTCTTAGATTATTACTTTTCTCATTATTAATTAATTAATATTTGGAATTATTTTTTAAAAATTATTATAAATACATCATAATCATTACATGTGATTAAAAATTTATTACAATTGAAAAAAATCAATTGCAATAATATTATAAATTATTGCATTAAATATTATTAAAAACTGTTGGTAAACCGTTGCATTACATATAAAAAACCGTGGCATTACATATAAAAAGGGGTGGTTTATATATAGCAAACTGTTGCATTAAAACAACAAACCGCTGCATGATGCAATAGAAAAACTGTTGCAAAAGAATAAAAACCGTTGTATCATATGTTATGTAAACTGTTACATCAGATGATCTCAATTGCTGCATAAAATATGCTCATAACCGTTGCTTATATTATGCGAACCGTTGCAAACGTTTCGACTAAAATCGTTGCTTTGTCATTCTGCCTAAAATACCAAGATAATCATTGCAATTGAAGGGTTTTATGCAACGGAATATGTTCAGTTGCAAGTGCATATGGAAACTGCTGCATTAGCCTATTCTAGCGCCAGTCGGATGTAGCGACTGGTAAACCATTGCATTAGATGTAATGCAACGGTTTTGGTTTATTTTGCAGTGGTTTGCAACCGTTGCATAAGGTTTCATATGTTGTAGTGAGATATGTTGCCTTAACTCCTATGAAATTACTGACGCTAGGTAACAACAAGCTCTCTTATCTAAAATTTCCCTTAGATAGTGATTAATGAAAACAAGCTCTTCACTAGATACTAATTTGGACAATCTAGAATAAGCTCTCTAGATTTAATGCAACAATCTTGTAAGCTCGGATCATTTAACTTATATTGTGTTATTACAATGATAAGATGAAAACTTGTCTATAATCATTTATTACTGTTTGCTACTTGTTGATTAAAAATAGAATAATTAGGAATCTCAATTTTTAATTCTAGCCATCAAATTTTGTTTTATTTAATCTAGCAAGCTTTATCTAAATTAGACAAACATAAATCTTAAACGATTAATTCAGAATAAGCACAAATAATTTGATGTAAAAATCAAAAACAACTTTACTGATGTTGATTACGCTATTGATATGATTTTGGGCTTCAAAATTCTCTTAAACTAAAGAAGAGAATTAGCCGCACGAGACCTAAATTATTATGCCGTCTTTTTTCCAAAATGAACGTGTCCCCCCTTTAGAATAATACTAAAGGTTATTTATATCCCAAGTGGATAGATAACTATAATATCTAATAAGTCCTCTAATCACATCCTAATTCTAACTTTTAGGGTTTATTTCCAAAATTGATAGGTTTTCCCAAATTCTGATTCTAGATTATTTGCTAGAACCTGCAAGCCCATTTTAGATTAGTTGGTGGCTGATTTTGGATCTGGCATCTTCATGAAAGTTATAGGATTTGATTTTTTATTTTTATGGAATTTTGAATCATCTGAATAAAATATTTAGAACTCATGATATGGCTTGGATAGTGGTCAGTATTCAAGTTGTGATGAAATCTAATTTTCTTACCTGACTTTAAAAGTCTAAAACAACTTGAATTTAGCTGTTTAAATCCAACCTAAAAAGTTTAATATGTCCACTTCAGACATTAAGAAGGCCTCTTCTAGGTTTTGAAACTCTAAGAATGTTAAATTTCTATATCTTGCCAGTATTGTGTAATTTTGCCTAAATTAGTATACTTTTGCATTTTTACCTCCAACCTTTTCTTAAATCAGAAAATAAACATTATTCAACATATATAGCCTAAAACCATATTAAAAAATAAATAGAAAAATTCAATATCATGCTATAATGCCCACTATCAGTGATTCAACATGAATTTATAAGAACCCTACTGTTTATTTAGACACAAGACAAGATGGGCAAAACTTGTATCCAACTTGGATTGGGAAGATTATGCTTTGTTTAGTGGTCAAGTAGGCTGATGGGTTGATTTGTGAGTTAAAGGCATACAACCGGTTGTTGAAGGTTAACCATGTGGTGAATGGGATAATGAGTGAGTATAAGTAGGAGAAGTATTTCTTTGAAGTTGGTTGAGCATGTGCTGGACAGTTTAGCTAGGCAGGAGTGAATGATGTATTTGTTGACATTATTCAGAAGTTAGTCACGGAGTCAACACAGCTAAAACTAATACAATGGCGAAAACAAACATGGTGAATGTGTTTGATGATAGTAGCGCTTTAATGCTAAAAGAATTCAAATCCCGAACTGAACTTGTAACAGAACAAATTCAAGATGTTCAGAAGAAGACCAACTACTGCAGTAGTCTTCCTGCTCATGCTCATGATGTCAAGGAATTAAAAGTTAATTATTACAAAACCGAGGGATATGTCTTTGTGGAGGAAACGAACCTGCAAAACCGAGGAAATTAGATTACAAAAGAAGCTTAGTCAGATGAAAAAACAAATAAAGAATGCACGTGGTCTTGTCAAGAATGTGCTGCTATTAAATCTAATTGCAAACACACAGAAGCAAGGGGGTAATTATAACTCATTTGGCAGTTGCGGCTAGAGGAAGGACCGCAAGATGTGTTTAGTAGTAAAGGTAGTACGCATGATCGTATCTGTAAAAAGATGTTGCAAGCAAGAGTGGAAGCATGGAAGTTCCTGGATAGATTATTTGCATTAATAATGGGAGTGACAACATTATGCAGACAACACCAAGAGGAAACAAAAATAAAGTCTAGTAGCGCGAATCTAAAGGGAAAGCCAGACTTGAAGGATATGTTGCCGAAGATAACACCCAAACCTACCATTGTAGAGAATGTACAGAAAACACTAATAAAAAACAAACACACTGCAAAGATCGCGCATGCTGTTGAGGGAATTTGGGTGAAAATGCTTAGAGAGCAAGAGATGGGAAGAGAGAAGACTTGCAGTTTCAGGAGAAGTGTGTTTGCTGCTGTCTTTTGTCAACTTTGGTTTCAATTTCCTAATCGTGAGACAACAATCTAATTTGTCAACACTATTTGAACGTGACATATGCAATTTGCAAGGCTGAATAGAGACTGTCAATGACTTTGCAGGAGGCCTCTACATAGTTGGGAAATAGAAACAAGGAAGAACTGCTGACAGTGTTGAGGTACTTGGTAATCATGTAACAACTATGGTTTACGAATATACCAACACTGGTGATGAATCAGTAACTATCAAGGGCGCCATGGAAGGTTTAATTGACAAGGAAAACATGAATTCTTGTTGTTAGAGGCTGAGTGATGACAAAATTTTTGCTTCGTGTTTCACCTACAATGCTGAAAGGCAAAAGTTTGCTACTGCTAGAGTTGGAGTCACAGTTTAAGGCTGGAACACATTGGGACACCATAGAAGAACACGTGAAGCTGGTATAGCTGCGTTAATTCAAACAATCCACCATGAAGGGACTGGAGCACTTGGCTGTCAAAGGATGCCTTCAAATAGAAAGTTAATCGTTGTGGATGAACAATGTATAAGAGCTGAAGCTACAGATAGGATAGCGTTCAAATTTGTCTCTTTAAATGAGGGGCTAGTTGATGCTGCAAATCAGGGAAGAAGATATGGGCAGAAAGAAGCTGAGATTTTTGAAGATCCATGAACAAGGAGTTTTTTTTTTTTTTTTTCCCAGTATAGTACATTTGTTAGGAAAGATAAAGAATGAGTTTTGTGCACTGTCTTCAATGGGAGAAAGCACCAACAACGTGTGAAGAAGAAAACTCATCTAGGGTTAGAGTTTAACATCATACAGGCATTTTAAATACAATCAGCTTGCATGCCATGCAAGATAGGCTGAATGGTTTGGACTGGACAATCTTAGTTGGGGTTTTACAAGACTGAGGCAAGGACGACTTAAAACTCAGGGTCGAGTTTTCTCTAACCAAGAAGCTTGACACGGGTGTATCCTTGAGGCCCAATAGTTGACGACCCATTATATTTGGGCCAACATCTATCATAGTTATTTATTTTCATATTTACTTTTCCGTAATTAGGTATTTTATTTTTTCTGAAGGATTTCCTTGTATTTAGAATTCTTTATTAGTGTAGTCTTTCCTACTTAAAATCCTTCCTTTTCCGGAATCGATTTAGCTATGTTTTAGGTATTTTCATTAATGACCGGATGTGTCTCCTAAAATACGGAAATATGCTTGTCGGTTCGATGTGTGCCCTAAACCTTAGGTATTTAAGGCTTTTTTTTTCTTTAATTATTAGACAATTTTGATATTTTGGTAAAAATTAAGCGGAAAGACTTTTCTCTTCTCAAAGCTGGCATTCTTGTTTTACATAGAATATGTTCTCATCCTTCACACTAATCACTTAAGGTGGCGAATTCATTTTGCATTTAAGAATCAAAGTGGTGTATCTATATCCTTAGCTCTTGACGTATGTACCTTGAATATTGACTTATTCTCACAAGTAATTTTTTAATATATTTATTTAATTGAATCTTTTGTGTTGAATTGATTTTATCATTGAGAAATTTCGACTAGTTCTTGTTTGCATAAAGCTAGGATTTTGCTATTTGTATTTCGGATTCTAAAGAGGTGCAAATAGGCTATATTTTAGGGTTAGGAATTTTTGAAATTGTATAAAAATTTTCCAAGTATATCTATTAATCATAAAAAAGACTTGATTGAAATATGGTGAAATTTTGATAAGTCCGACCAAGGTTTTGGTATTATCCTAGTTGCTTAGGGTTTTATGTGTTGTTGTGTTTCGACTTGAGATAGTGAGTATTATTGATTATATCTATTCTATTATATTTAGTGCTTTAAATATATTTTTAGATTATATGTACTGAATAATATTTATTTTGTAACTTAAGAGAAGATTAGGGACAAAAGAGCAAAAAAGTGTGCTAATTTGGTGAAATTCTAATGTAAGTAGATTGACCGGATATGAAAATTTCACATCCTTAGAGTTTCGGAACATGAAAGAAGTCTTCTTAAGATTTGAAGTGAACATCTTAATCTTTCCAAACTAGATTTAAATGCATACGTATAAGTTGTATTGGAATGCTAAAGTCGAGTCAACGATTTCGATTATATGATAGTTTAAAATACCGATTAGTGTTTGGACCATATCTAGAGTTTTAGCTAGATATTGAATTGAGATGATTCAAAATCCTATAGAAACATAGGCATAAAAATTTTATGAGAGCCCAAGTCCAAAATAAATTTCCATCTTGTCCTAAATCGGTTTGGAATTTCTAGCACGGAACTTGAGGTCATATTCAGCAACAAGTCCTAATTAATTTATGAAATAATCCTAAATAGGAATTATAAGTCGTCATATTACGAATATGAAGTCACCGACAACTTCGCTCACACTAGTGAGAAGCCACCAATGACTTCGAATCATGAATATAGGAAGCTACCGATAACTTCATCACACAAGTGAAAAGCTATTGATAATATCATTTCAAATGAATAGAAAGCATATAAATTGATTTGGAAGCCACCGATGGCTTTATCCATATAGGTGAGAAGCCACCGGTAGCTTCATTTTAGGTAGACACGAAGCAAATAAAATGGCTTCAAAATCACTAGCGGCTTCATCACATAAGTGGGAAGCCACCAGCAGCTTCATTTCATATAAACAAAAAAAAATATAAATTAATTTGGAATCCACTAATGGCTTTATCCATATTAGTGGAAAGCCATCGATAGCTTTATTTTAAGCAAACAAGGAGCAAGTAAAATGACTTCAAAATCATAGACGACTTTATCACATAATTGGAAAGCCATCAATGACTTCATTTCAAATGAACATAAAATAAGTAAATTAATTTGAAAGACATTAGCGAGTTTCGTCCACACGGTAGGAAGCCATTGATTCCTATATTTTAGATAAATAGAAAAGCATATAAATTGATTTAAAAGCCATAAACAACTTTGACCACATAAGTGGGAAGCCACCGATAATCGTATTCGATAACTAGATAGCAAGTAAAAATTTCAAGCATAATCAGACAAAGCTTTTGATAGCTCAATCATCCATAACATAATATTCTCATCATTCATTTATCATTTTAAACAATCTAAGTAAGTTCAAAAGTTACCCAAATTTCATGAATATGCCATGAGTTCCTCTCTTGAATTAGTTTTACTTTCTTCAATCTCGATGAAGATTGATTATTTTAGTCAACCACGAAAAAGGAAGCAACTATTTATGGATGTCAAAAAGATCGTTATATGGTGATTGAAATACCTCTAGTCAATTATGAAAAGACCAAAATGCCCCTTGTTTGGTAATATCCCTAAATGTCTAGACTTTTGCCAACACGTATCAAAATTCTAGCCCAAAATGGTGAAGATGACCTTTTATCTCAACTGTCTACAGTTCATCATGAGATAGCTTGTAAAAGATTTCATAAGGACGGACCTCTTGTAATCCAAGTTCAAGTAAGATTCATATCACGTTATCATAAGCCAATTTGATGTAATATCACATTTCATGAATAACATCAATTACGGGATCATACATGAGACTAAAAAAAGAGTTTTTCTTTTTAGGGATTGATCATATTTATGAAAGTAAGGGTTTTTGTTTTAGAGATGAAAGATCATGACTTACATTATGTTGGGTGAGTCAATAATAGAAGAATCAAAGTCAAATGATCATGTTGATAAATATTTAGTCATAGCTTAGATTATCTCCTTATTGCTATGGATATCGGAGGAATTAAAATGTTTGGTCTTTTAGTGTTGATATAGATTTACAACCAGTCTAACCATATCATGTTTCTAAAGAATTAATAATATTCATCTATTTAACATCTACATTTCATTGTTGTTCTCATGTCATTCATCTTTCTTTTTTGTTTGTGCTTAATTATGTAAGCTTATCTTTGAGATTTTTTTTTTTTTGAAATTTTCAAAAAATCATTGTCATTGGTTTTGACCTTTATGGATTAGGTCATCTATCAAAGCAGGTTGAATTGTCCAAAAGAAATCATGGAGATATTCATAAGAATGTAATTTCATTCAAGAAAATATTTGACTTGATTAAAAGCCAAAATGCAATCCCGAGATGCAATTCTCATAGTGATCAATTTTTAGGCTAAGATGTGCAAAATACATTTAGATCATAAAAGTCTTGAAAAGAATTTATCTCTTTTGATAGGTGATTGATAAAATTTTGGTCCCGCGAGCATGACGTGCTCGGACGAATTTCAAAAAGTAAAAGAGTTTTTGAAGGAAGTTTGGCTCAAATAGGCGACCTTGCCTAGAAAGACTCAATTCATTTCTTTCTTGCCTCAGTTACTTAATGAAAATTTTTTATTCAATGTTATAAATTTTTTAAAACATAAACAAATTAAGTTTTATTCAAAAATATTTTTCTTCTTCTCATTTGAAGCTAGAACCCACAACACAAACAAGCCATCTTTGATTAGAAAGGGCTTTTATAGGCACGTAATAAAGGCTAGGGCTTCGACTTATGAATGAAAGATATAAAGGCTCAAAAGGTGTTTAATAGTATAAATATTAGGATCACTTAAATGTTCATTGAAAAACTTTAAGCATGCTTGCCTTGACTTTGTCACTTCATCAATTGATCTCATTTTCCAATCCTAACTCTCCTTTTATGTTCACTCTTGCCATTTTTTTTATTTCTAACCTTTCCTAACTTCAAATCACGAGAGAGATCACTCTAGATAACACTTTATTTTTGCCTTAGTGCTTTCACTTTTGTTTTTCATTTCTTTTTATTTTTTCATTTCCTTTTCTCTTTTAGGGTCATTTCAAGGGTTTTTTCGACAAGTTATTTTTTTATATGAATAATGATATCATTTTTCTTAGGAGAACATTCTTTATCATAAATGAACTTTCAAAATTGCCCCTAGTGTGATGGGAGATCCTAGTCTAGGTCATGATTGAAAGAAATCATTTAGGCTCAAAGTCAGACACCAAGAGATAATTTTTTTTTTTTTTGTGAGAAAGTAGATAAAAAAAAATGGCATTTCTTCATCCTCAAATTTGACTCGGTTCGGGTAGTAAGTTCTATTTTCATTTGAAAACTATGATTGACTTCTAGAGAAGAACTAATAGATAATGTAGGATCATGACTCAAATATATACCACTTATTATTGTTTAAGACATCAAATCATTTTTATTTTTTTTGCATTGATGTATTGTTCTAGGAAAGATTGTGTTGGAAGGATTTCTTAGAAATAGAAGAAGAATGTTTTTGGTTTCAAAAAGAAAAGCTACCCCTTAGTATTTACACGACATGTTTTGAAAGTTGATCAATATTGAAAGATTTTGAATGAGTTTATCATTTTATTTATTTTGATTTAGATGATATAAATGACAATGATACTTTCAAATAAACATATTTTGATTTTAAATCGATAATAAAATCATTCCAAAAAAAAATAGGAATTTCTTTTTAAAAAAACCCAATCCATAAAAATCACAACGCTTTTGCAAACAAAATTCTAAAATTTGACATAAGGTAAGATTTCATTCACAAAATCAAGAAACATGTATGCTTCTCCGATGAGCTTCAATTATCCTCTTCGCATATATATATATATATATATATATATATATATATTAATTAGAGTTATGTTGAGCCTTTTTTTTAGCACAATCACT